CGCATTGCGAACACACACACAGACAGCCTCTCGACAATATGCGTTTTTGCTGGCTGCAGCAGCGCTGTAGCGCTGCTATAGCGCTGCTGCAGAAAAACGCATAATAAAATAAAAGGTGCTGATAAATTAAATTTGCAAAGGTAAATACAGTAATACTGTACATTTTCCAGATCTCCTTACAAACAAATAAGTCATGATTTTTGCTGCGGCACTACGACTCTGGCTTTTCATGTTGAGATAATCATGCTCACTGAAAGAACCAAAAAAAAAAACATTCAACTGCGCGGTGTGTAGGTGGGCAAAGATACTCTGTCAAGTGAATTCCGCACCGAAAGACAGTTTTCCACTCGTATTGAGGATAATTTATCATTCACACTTCACACTGCTGTCAGGCATTGTTAGACAATTATAATAAATTGCGCGAACCAGGCCAACCGGTGCGATCATACGTTTTGTGCAATGCCGAACGACTACCTGTTAATGACTTTCACTGCTTTGCACTTTGAGCTGTGCGAAAATAACTGAAATTTTGTCTGGTTTCTAAATTGCGGAATTTCCCAGTAATGATTTCACGCAATGGCACGTGAAAGCTGAATTTGAAACTTCGAAGCGTGAATATTCTCCCACAATTTCAGTTTCCTAATTTTTCGATTTTGAGTGATTCTTGTGTCAAAACTTTCACATGTTCGTACATGAGAGCTCAGCATACTTAGGAATTGAATTCGAATGAAGCCCCTCCTTAGGCAGGAAACATCCTCCTGGAAATTCAGCCCCCTAGCTTTTCTAGCTTCGGTGACAATAATTTTTCTCGCCAAAACTTCCACAAAGACGTTGAAAATTTGCGAGTCGTATGTAGGCACGGGATGCCACGCAGAGGATAGGCTGATTGTAAATTTTCTGGGTCGTATATGGGTAAATGACAGGCTCCCAAAATTTTAGTCTTCTAGCTTCTGTGGTCTCCGTGGTAATAATTTTACCCGCCAAAATTTTTACGGAGTAGTACTTGTTACCCGCGGGCAGAGGAAGACTGAATTTAAATTTCCTAGGTCGCAGGTGGACAAGAGACGTGTCCACAAAATTTCAGCCTCCTCGCTTTCGTGGTTTCCGTGATAATGATAATAATATTCCCCGCCGAAACTTTTATAGAGCTGCATGCATTACCCGCGGGCACGGGAAGGCTGAATTTAAAATTTTGAGCTTACACGTGGGTGGGGAATATTGCCGTAAATTTTCAGCTCCCTAGCTTTTGCCCGAGTTGAATGATGCGGAAAAGATGCTGCGGACACACACACGCACACACATACGCACATATAAGCACAGACACAAAGACACACAGATAACCCCATGACAATACGCGTTTTGTACTGCTTTTGCGCAGCATAAAACGCATAAAAACGAGAAATAGACTGGCGAGTGTGAAGGAAAAGACTAACTGTTGTAAGCAAAGAGGAAGCCATATGAGGTGTTATTCAAGTTGCCACTCACATAAGCCGTATATCGGCCGTAAGAGCGAAGAGTATGGAAGCCTTGATCCACGGATGCGACCGCATAGTAAGCAACATGACCGAGGTACGGCATTGGTGCAAATAGACTATATTTATAGTCCAATGTCGTGGTTGTTGAGGCTTCCTCGTCGCCAATTATCTGTAACAAGTGCAGGAAATATGTTCATTAGAAATTCAAATTAGAGCAAAAAATCCAGGCTGGAACGCACCGGGCCGGCTCGTGCGATAATGCATTTTTGCACCGGACTTGAACTACTTAGGTCATTAACTGCAATAATGGTTGTTGCTTTACACCTACCTTTTGCGGCCACTAGCATAAATCATCACAAATTTTGCATAAAGTAAATGTGCAGTTTCCATTTAACGACCGTTCTTTAAAAGTAACCTAACTGTTCAGTGAGAGATTTTTCCGCCAAAACTTTTAAATGCCCGTACGTAACAACCACATATACCTCAAGGCTGAATATGAAATACTTAAGTTGTACTTGCACAGGGAACATTTATCCTAAAATTTCAGCTTTCTAGCTTTCCCGGTTCCCGAGTTAGTAATTTTCTAACAGAAACTTTCACACGCCCTTACATGAGTACCATGCATAGCTGAGAGTTGAATTTGAAATATTTGAGTTGTATATGGACAGGGAACATTACCCCAAAACTTCAGCCTTTCAGCTTTTCTGGTTACCGGTTTAACAATCTTCCCGTCAAATGCTTCACGTGCTCGTACGTAAGAACCGCACATAGCTGAGGGCTGGATTTGAAATATTTAAGTTTTGCTTGGACAGGAGACATTCCCCCAAAATTTCAGATTTCTAGCTTTCCTGGTTCTCGAGTTAGCAATTTTTCCATCAAAACTTTCATACGCCCTTAAGTGAGTACCACGTACACTTGGGGGCTGAATTTGAGATCTTTAGCCAACACATGCACAGTTTTAGCCCCTTGCCTTGTTTGGTTCTCGAGATCGCTTACCTGCCCAAAAAATTGCATGTTTTTTTAAAGCGTCCGTGCGCGGCACCCAGGCGTCCACGGGAGATGATGTAAAAACGGGAGGGTCGTGCATGGTAGGGACACATACTCCCAAACTTTCAGCGTTCTAGCTTTTCTGGTTTTCGAATTAAAAATGGGTGATAGAAAATGCGAACACACACACATACAAAAAAAATGCGAACACACACACAAATAGCCTGTTCCCAACATGCGTTTTTGCAATATGCATATATGCAAAAACGCATAAAAAGAAAAACACGCCATTTGCTTATGCTCGACACAGTTTAAAATTCTAAATTATGTATTTCTTCCCAGATCCGATACAGATTTGCCTTTGCAATGGCCCTAGCAAGCACTGAAAAGCCTCGTTCATCATAATTCATCGGTAAAAATCATTCATAAATCATTTATAGAGATCACTATTACCGTCACATGGTTGTTATCCGAAGGCACATAAAAAGGAGTGCGACCAGTGACGAACTGTGTCCAGGAAACATCTAGGTCAAGATACGAGCCGGTAAGTCCACTTCCTTGTGAACCATAGCCACCAAAACGTAGGACTTGCAATATGCCATCGCTAAACATAAGTAACACTTTTAGACTGAAATGTCGACAAGAAAATGCAGAGTGTATGCTAAAAAAACTTTAAGCGCTTCTCTGTAACCTCAAGATTTCTTTCGTGCTGTGTTTACCATCGGACAGACGCAGACAAAGCCTCGTTCATTCATTATCGGCAGATTATCGAAATGCAGCCTTCATTTCGCCAGTAGTTCAGTTTGAGTCGAAAAGGATCATGAAAGAGGATCATGTGGTGATATCGAGAATGAGTGCACGCATGTAACGATCAGGAGGAGAAGGATGAACAGCTGCGCGAAAGCAATCAAACACTTCTTTATTAGTACAAGCGCAAAATAAGTTAAAAAAAAGACACAAACCCCGAAATTACCCGGCAGCAGCTCCAAGCTGCCACCGCACATTTTTATGCGTTTTTGCCTATATGCAAATTGCAAAAACGCATATTGAGACGACCCCGTCCGTGTGT